CCTGCTTTGTATAAACCCTGGGCCTGTTTTTCAAAAGTGTGATTTGGTTCTATGCTACAACTGACTTTTAAAAATGTTTATATTATTGTATGTGAGTGTGGGTACATGTATATGGAGGTCAGAGGACGACTTTTAGGAACTTGTTCTCTCCTTCCACCATAGGATCTTGGAATCAAACTTAGGTTGGCAAGCTTCTGCTCAGCTACAGATAACTTTAAGGCGGGGGTGGGGGGGTAATGAGATGGCTGTAAAAACCCTTGGCATGCATATTACATATAATATGTACACACATACAAATATAGACATTAAATAAATAAATGTAATAAAAAGATACTTTAAAAAATAAAAGTGTGCTGGGTGGTGGTGGTGCACTCCTTTAATCCCAGCACTCAGGATGCAGAGGCAGGTGCATCTCTATGAGTTCAAGTCCAGCCTGATCTACAGAGTGAGTGCCAGGTCAGGCTCCAAAGCCACACAGAGAAACCAAGCCTTGAAAAACCATAAACAAACAAACAAATAATAAAAGTGCTAAGAGCAGTAAACAGCCACTCAGATAAGAGACCCATGTTAGTCCTACAATCACAAGGAGCTGAATGCTGTCAACAGCCTGAATTTAGAAGCCAGTTCTTCCGATGAGTCTCTAACAAGACATGCAGATGATATCATCTGGATGCCAGCCTGGTAAGATTCTAAGGAGAGAGCCCAGCCACACTGTACCAAGCCCACAGGGCTATGAGTTCATGAATATGGGTGCTTTGAGCCTCTAGTCATGCTAATTTGTTGTGCAACAATGAAAATTAGCACACAGGCATTAACAGTTTTCTCTCTTTCCTCTCTGTGTGTCTCTCTCTCTTCTCTGGTTTTGGTTTTTAGAAGCAGGATTTCTCTGCGTAGTCCTGGCTGTCCTGGAACTCAGTCAGTAGACCAGGCTGGCCCTGAACCCAGAGATCCACCTGCCTCTGCCGCCCAAGTGCTGGAATGTCGGTGCCCATAAAGATGGCTGCACTTTATCTTGGCACAAGGACAGAGAGTTCAAAACTGTCCTTAGTAAAACATAAGACCTAAAGGTCAAAGGTGTGGCCACAGAAGGATGTTTGGCTGTCTTAGTTCTAAATAACAACAGACCTGAATCTGAGGTGCAGCTACTCCTGATCTCAAGGCTAGGGAATGAGAAGTTGAATCTGAGGTGTGACCACTCCTGATCCTCAAGGCTAGGGAAGAAGAAGTTGAAGCTAAGGTGCAGTTACTGAACAGCCATGGACCACTCCAGGCAGGTATGGGGGACCCTGGGACCAGGGTTCTTGAAGACTAGGCAGTGACAAACAGAAACAAACAGAGAGGCAGTTTGAATCTGAGTGTATTTTGCAACATTCAAGCCAGGCTTTTTATCCAGGATAAAGAATAGCTTCTCAGAAATTGTGTTCACTGAAGCAAATCCAAATAGAACAAATAACATCATTGTTGTTAGGCACAGTAACATACAACTTATTCAAGGCTAACAATAAATCATAAAATCATTCAAGGCTAACCACAACTAACCACCCATTTTCTAAGATCAGGTTAGTATCTTTTATGGTCAGTTATTGTTTAGCATTTGTTGCCTAGCTCTTGTGAATTTTTGAAATATTGAACTATTTTTACTTTTTCTTATCAAAGACTTTCTTTACCAAATGTTTAAACCTACTCTCAATTACACATGTACAGGGTTAGGGTCTGTTAACAAGAGGTTTTGTTGGTGAGAAGCACTGAGAGTTATTTGTTGATGCCATGGTCTTGGGTGATGCTCATCGACTCAGAAGTTCAGTCACGCTGTTACTAAGGATTCTCATTCTGGATGTGGCTGGCAGTGCAGACCTTTAAGCCTAGAAATAGGGAGGCAGAGGGAAGTGGATCTGAGTTCAAGGCCAGCCTGGTCTACAGAGCAAGTTCCAGGACAGCCAGGGCTACACAGAAAAACCCAGTGATGAAAAAACAAAAGCTGGACAAAGATTCTCAGAATGTGCAACAGAATGTGGCACTAGTACTGCAGCTAATCTACAACATCTAACATGTCAGGATCTTAACCTGCCAGAGATGGATGGACCTGATCCTGGATGCCAAGATGGTTTCCCTATATAAGAAATAGGTGAAGGCCATGAAAGAGGACTGAAAAAGAATCCCAAGAAGCTTTGTGGATGCAGGTTGGGCACATAACATAACTCCTCATTGAGAAGCACTCATTTTTAAAAAAATTTTTTTTGGATTATTTTATTTTATGTACATAAGTGTTTTATATGTATGTATGTATGTGCAACCCATACACACCTGATTGTTGTAGAATATTATTTTAAGGTGTGTTACATTTGTTTATGCTCTGTAACATTTGTTTTAACAATTAAAGATCTATTGCTTTTGTTTATGCTACATTTGTTTAACTCTGTGAAGTCGTGATTCTTTGCCTGTCTAAAACACCCGCTGGTCTAATAAAGAGCTGAATGGCCAGTACCGAGGCAGAAGAAATGATAGGTTAGGCTAGCAAGCAGAGAGGATAGAGAGAGAAGAAAGAGGAATGAGCAAGAGAACACAGAGAGGATGATGGTAGGGGCCAGCCACCCAGCCAGCCTTTCACAGAGGAAGAGTGACATAAGATATACAGAAGTAAGAAAGGAAAAGGCCCAGAGGCAAAAAGTAGCTAGCTAGAAGCAAGCCAAGCTAAGGCTAGGCATTCATAATTAAGAATAAGCCTCCGTGTGTGATTTATTTGGGAAACGAGTGTTGCTCCCCCCCCCCCAAGATAAAGAGTAAAGAACAAAGAGCAAAAGTATGAAAACAACCAAATACCCCTGGCGCCTGTGAAGGGTGTCAGGTCCCCTAGAATTAGAGTTACAGATGACTGAGAACTGCCATGTAGGTGCTGAGAAACCCAAGTCCTGGGAGAGACTAAGGAGTGCTCTTAACCACTGAGCCAGCTCTCTGGCCCAGAACTTGTTTTTTGAGTGGGTAATTTGAATATGATCTGTACATCATAAAACCAAGATTTATTTTTTTTTTTGAAACAGGGTCTCACTATGTAGCCCAGGTTGGCCTTGAATTCTCAATCCACCTGCCTCAGCCTCCTCTGAGTGTTGGGATTACAGAGAGTATACCACTACAAGTGTCTCACCAAGGGCATTTAAGAACACTTGGCTTCTTCTAGAGTACCCAGGTTTAATTCCCAGCACCCACGTGGCAGCTCACAACTGTGTATCTCCAGTTCCAGGGGATGGGATATGATACCCTCTCCTGGCATCTTATGTGCATTGCATATATTTGGTGCACTGACATACATGCACTCACCAGCGTTGGTGGTGCATGCCTTTAGTCCCAGCACTTGGGAGGCAAAGGCAGGCAGATCTTTGTGAGTTTGAAGCCAGCCTGATCTACAGAGCAAGTTCCAGGACAGGCTCCAAAGCAATACAGAAAAAAAAGAAAGACAGAAAGAAAGAAAGGACGAAAGAAAGAAAGAAAGAAAGACATGCAGTCAAAATATCTATAAACATAAGAGAAAAAGTTTAAAAATGTTAAAGACATTTTAAAAATATTTAAATGAGTTTTTATCCAAGTTACATAACAAATTACACCATTTTAGAGTGAATTATTCAGTGGTTCTTAATATATTCCTATCATTGGGCAACCACTACTTCTGTCCAGTTCCAAAACATTTTCATCATCTATAAATGAAACTCACAAAATATTGTATAACTGCTCCCCATCCTCTCATTCACGGAGGACTGCTAATCTGTGTGTGTTCTTGTTCTTTGTTCTGTTTTTTCATTTTTAATTAATTAGTTACTTTATTTATTATGTATCCAAGTGTTCTTTCTGCCTGTTTGCCTGCACTCCAGAGGTGGAGGTGGGCACCTGATCTCATTACAGATAGTTGTGAGCCACCATGTGGGTGCTGGGAATTGGAAGAGCAGTCAGTGCTCTTAACTACTGAGCTGTTTGTCCAGCTCCAGTTCTTGCTTTTTCTAGTCTCTTTCTGCCCATGAGGATGAGGCCAGCCTTTTTACAGCTCATCAATTAGATCTTTAAATTTGGTGTGTGTGTGTGTGTGTGTGTGTGTGTGTGTGTGTGTGTGTGTGTGTGTGTGGTTTCTAGAATAATATTCAATGCTGAGGGAATGAGGGAAAAGCCAAGATTATGAAAAAAGTATGTTTTTTCTTTCTTTTCTTTTTTTCTTTTCTTTTTTTCTTTTTTATTTTTTCTGTATTGGAGTCTGTCCTGGAACTACCTCTGTAGACCAGGCTGGCCTCAAATTCACAGAGACCAGGTCCTGCCTTTGCCTCCCGAGTGCTGGGACTAAAGTCGTGCACCAACGCGTGGCTAAAATGTGTAGCCCAGGCTGGCCTCGAACCCGTGATCCTCTTGCCTCTGCCTCCTTCAGCAAATCCTACAGGCGTGCACCACCACAACCGGCCGTTTTGTCTTTTCTAGAAATTGTGCATAGGTAAGGCAAAGCAAAGGTCTACTTTCAGAGGGCGTGCTGTGTAGGTCGCAGCAGCAATGCCCTCACTAACTCCTTATCAAACAGCAAGGCAACACTATGAAAATGGTGACTTGATTTTTTTTTTCTTGTGGTAGTTGGTATGCGTGTATCACACCTAATAGAACCCATTATGAAGTGGTACACCTCATTCCCTGACAAACGGCAGTATTTTGTTGTTCTCACGCCATTTGTCACTTTGAGCTGTCCTAGTACTATTTATTTTTATCCAATTAAAGTTCCTCACCCTGACTGGAATGCTTGTTTTCTCTCGGTCAACAATGTTCCCAACTTAGGCTTCCAATTGTTTTCGTTTTTTGTAATGAACCAGTGAATGGAGACTCCATCTTTAAGGTACTTCACGGAGGGGTGAAATGCTGGAAAAGTCTCTGTGATGAACGCGGGCCTAAGAGATGCTGCGCTGCAAGAATTAAGTCCGCTCCGGGAAAGGGAAGCCAGGGGCGGTACCGCAGGGTCGGCTCCGCCCGGCCGGAAGGGACGGGACTCGTGTGGGCGTGGCCGAGGGGAGGGGTGGGGCCTGCGGCGCGGACCGGGCGAGCGGCGGAAGATGGCTGCGGTTGTGGCGACCGAAACGCAGCTGATGCTCGGAGTCGGGCTGATCGGTAAGGGAGGCAGGCTTTCTGCCCGCTAGGCCGCGCCCCAGATCCGCCTGGGCTCTTGGAAGCGCCGGGCCGCCCCTCCTGGGAGGGGCTGGACCTGAGCCGTGGAACCCGTCCTCCTCACCGCCGGGACTGACGTGGTGCCTGCGGGCGGGCGCGGCTCGCGGCTGGTGGATGGCGGGGCCTTGGAGAGCTGGGGCCGGGTCGCGGGTGTTTGCGGCTCCCCGGGAGCATGGGTGACGCCCCGGGGTGCATTGGCAAGACACTCCAGGAAGTGGCGGAGCCAATAGTGGAACCCGCGCAGGATGACCTCGAGCCTCCACTTCCACCGTGGAGAACTTCGTGTCAGTTGACCCAGATGCCCCTGCTGCATGGTCACATTTGTGACCCCGGCTAGTTTATAGGAATTCATGGTGAGGAAGTTCGTAGTATCTTTGGACAGTCCAGACTGTGCGTTAGTTTTGTGCAGCCCAAGGAGGCGGTAGTTGACAGCGCCAGACTGCACGAATGAATGAACCATTATGAATTCCTTTGAATATTCTCCTGAGAGTCTAATACACCTAGACGCTATCCTTCCTTGCAGAATGCAAGCGGGTTGCTTATACTTAGCAAGTAACTGCAGTAATTGTTTTTCGGAAGTTTAAAGGAGTGTCTTTATTCTGTATTCATTTTTTTATGAAAATTTACTTTGTATGCATCTGTCTATATGTTTGTGCACCGTGTGTATGTCTGGTGCCCAACGGAGATCAGAAGAGATCATCAGATTCTATGGTACTGGAACCAATTGTGAGCTGCCATATGGGTGCTGGGAATTGAAACCCAGTCCTCTTGAAGAAAAACCAGTGCTAACTGCTGAGCCATCTCTATCCACCTTGTATTAATTTCTAGTATGATTTAAAAAAAAAAACTACTTGAAGACAAAACCCATGTACCTCTGGCATCTTGGACTTGTCAGCACTTCAGAATTAAGGTTGAATTACACGGAAGATATCTGTGAGTTCAAGGCCATCCTGGTCTACAGAGCAAGATCTAGGACAGCCAGGGCAACACAGGAAAACTGTCTCAAAAAAGAAAAACAAAATCTTACAAACATATTTGTGCATATGACAGCTCTTTAGTTATTAATTTGGCATGGGTTTGGAAGGTATTTATTTCTAAGCTGGGCAGTGGTATCAAGCCTTTAGTCCTAGCACTCAGGTGGCAGTGGATCTCTGAGTTTGAGGCCAGTCTGGTCTACATAGTGAGTTCCAGGACAGCCAGAATTACACAGGGAAATCCTGTCACAGGAAAAGAAAAAGATGTTTGTTTCTAAGTAAAGAGGGTATCAGAGGCATAGTGATACAAATCTAATTTTATCAACTACTTTGGGGACTGAGCCAGCCCCTCAAGTTCTTCATTTCCTTTTTGGTAATTGAGGGTTAGGGTTAAAATTACATTATGAATGGATTGCTTTTATTGTTGTTTTTCTAAAAAAAAAAAATTGGCAGAGCAGTAGAGCTCTTGCTTAGCATGTAAGATGTGTTAGGTTTAATCCCCAGCAAAAAGTGAAAAATTTAAATCTAGTCTGTATGTGTGACATGAGTTGAAGGAGGTTTCATTATCTCATTGTTGGAAAGGGGGTTAAGGATCAATCCCAGAGCTTCAAATGGCTCTGTCTATATGTCTAGCCTTCTTTTAAGAATCCTTTCTATGACCTGGCCTTGGTGGTGCACACCTTCAATCCCAGCACTCGGGAGGCAGAGGCAGGTGGATCTCTGAGTTCAAGGCCAACCTAGTCTACAGAGCAAGTTCCAGCACAGGCTCCAAAGGCAATACAACAATATAGAAAAATCCTGTCTCAAAACAAAACAAAATAAAAATAAAAAAAAAAAAAAGAATCCTTTCTATGTATTTTTATTGAAGAGCCTTCCTTTTGCATAAAAATGTAAGTTTGTATGCATTTTTGTGGGAGAAGATAAAAAATCTTAACAAATATCTAAGGCTAGTTTTACTTTTTATTTTTGTGTGTGAACATGCCTCAGGCTTGTCCACCTGGAGATCTGAGGACAGCTTCTGGGAGCCAGTTCTCTCCTTTGGCCATGTGTGTCCTGGGGTTCAAACTCAGGCCATCAGGCTGAGAAGCAAACACTTTTACCTGTTTACTTAGGTGACCTAAAACTAAAGTCATGAATCTGCCTGGCATGATGATAATGCCTGTAATTTCAACTCTTGAGAGATGAGAGTGAGGAGAATCAGGGTTCAGAGTCATCTTTTACCACAGTTTGTGACTAGCTTGGGCCATCACAATCAAAAGCAACCAAATGAATGCAAATCACAAATTCATAGGAATTTGGGTCTCACGTGCTCTGAATTGCTTCGTAAAGTGGGTTGTTAAAACTGATTCCACAAAGTGTTTCTGAGTAACCAATCAATTCACCTCCTTGCTGCTGTTTGACATTCTCACAGTGACCATCTTTCCACCGTAGAAAAGGACACTAATGGAGAAGTTCTGTGGGTTTGGTGTTACCCTTCCACGACAGCCTCATTAAGGAATCTGCTGCTCCGAAAGTGCTGCCTAACAGATGAAAATAAACTTCTGCACCCCTTTGTCTTTGGTCAGTACAGAAGAACGTGGTTTTATGTCACTACAGTTGAAGTTCCAGATTCTTCAATTTTGAAAAAGGTATGACTGCTTGATTCAAGCAAAACAAACAAACAAAAACACAATATATCTAAGTGATTTAAGAATATAAGCTTTAGACTCTTTCACAATACACACTTGGGAGCATTGAATATTACTTTCATTGGGACTATTCCCTTTCTTTTACACTCCTTTCATTATATGAATACTGATAATTCATTGTGGCTAGTTGAATGCTCAACAACTTGAGAATATTTAGTCTCTATCAAAGTTATAGTCTGGTGGAGTAGAGATACAGGGCAGTTTCAAGGCCATACTGAATAAAAGGGGTGTTTTCCATAATTAAAATCTGTGTTAGGGCTCGGTGTGATGTCTCACATGTTTAATCCAAACACATTGAAGGCAGGTGGATCTCTAAAAATGTGAGGCAGCCTGGTCTCCATAAGAAGTTTTAAGAACACAAAACTGTTTTAGAAGCTGGAAGTTAGGGCACATGCCTATTATTCTAACTCTTAGGAGGCTCAGGAAGGAGGATTGCTAAGTTCAAGACCAGCCTGAACTACATAATGCATTCAGGCTAGAAAAAGCTTTAAAAAGTTTTTTAAATTTATTTTTATGTGTATAGGTGTTTTGCCTGAATATATGTCTGTATGAATGTACCACATGGGTGTCTAGTGCCTGCAGAGTCCAGATGAAGGTGTTGGATCTCTTGGGCCTGCAGTTAGAAATAGTCATGTATGACCATGTGGGTATTGGGAGTAGAACTCAGTCCTCTGGAAGAATAGCCAGTGTTCTTAACCACTGAACCATCTCTTCATTCCCTTAAAAACTTTTTAAAAGAATACAATTATTCTTGGAAGAGTTAAGAACTTTTTAATTTACTTGTTAATGATAGCGATACATTATGAATTTAAAATGATCATTAAAATCTGTCATAATTAGACTTTTATTGGTATGTTGTTTACTCTGAGTAGTAAGTATCAGTGTGGCCTGGGGAATAAGTCATGTTTCCTTTTTGTTGTTGTTTTGGTTTTTTTCAAGACAGGGTTTCTCTGTGTAGCCCTGACTGTCCTGGAATTCACTCTAGACAAGGCTGGCCTTGAACTCAGAGATCTGCCTGCCTCTGCCTCCTGAGTGCTGGGACTATAGGTGTGGGCTATGTTTATATAGTTTGTAACTTCAAGCAAGCATAGTTTTCCAAGAGAAAGATAAGGAAACAAGTTGCTGAGTCTCTGGCACATACTTGGGGTGCCTCTTTTCACTTTTCAGAGTTAACTTTGACTGTATGAAGTGTGTTCAGAATACGAAGAATAGTATTACAAACCAAGAAAATCATTTGGAAAGAATCATAGGGTCTTAGAAAATGTAAGTTTGAAAGTTTAATGTATTATAAGATCTTTGCATTTTGCTCAGTAAGTACTTTTCCTCTTTGATGGTTTGTCTTGAGACAAGGTCTCTTATAGCCCAGGCAGTAACTAAAGCTGGCTATAAACTCCTGACCATTCTGTCTTCATTTCCCAAGTGCTTCCATTACAGATTTGTGCCACCGTGACTAACTGACTTATATTTTGTTTCTTTTCAAACTTTATTTTTACTTTTATTTGTGTGGAAGTATGCTCACTTGAGTACAGGTGTCTTCAGAGGCCAGAAGAGGGCATCAGACCCCCTGGAGGTGGAGTTACAGGCAGTTGTGAGATGCTCTGTGGGTTCAGGGATTCAAACCGGGGTCCTCTTCAAGAGTGGCAAATGCTTTTAATCGATAAGCCATCTCTTTTTCAGTTCTTTCTGAAAAATCTTAAGCGAATGTGGCCTGTGTTTTGGATTATAGAGTGCCAAGTTACAGCAGCATTCATATCATATCTGTGGTTCAGATTTCAAAAATAATAAGATTTAGAATAGCGCAAAATACATGTTTTTCAACAGAGCACAGTGGCACACCATATAATCTAGCACTTGGGAGACTGAGGCAGAAGGCCTCAAATTTGAGATCAACATGGGCTACATAGTGAGACTATCTCAAAATAAGGATAGAGAAGCAAGTGAAGACTTAGACAATTTGGTCTTTTCTTCTTAAAAAATGCAACTATATTTGAGTCCAAGAGGTTAGATAGAATAGAATAATAATGTGTTACATTAATTATCTATTGAATTCTATTCAAGTATCTTTAAAAAGTGTGCTTTTGTTTGTTTCTTTTGGACAGGTGACTCATTTTTCTATTGTTCTCACCGCCAAAGATTTTAACCCAGAGAAATATGCCGCCTTCACTAGGATATTGTGTAGGTCTGTATGAAACCTGTGTTAAATGCTAATTCACCAAAATGAAGATCTTATTCAGTAGTGACCCAGCAGATGTCCACATGCAGGAAACAAATTCAGTCTTCTGTCTCCCTGATTTAATCCATTGCGGCTTTGCAGAAGCTGATTTTCAAAGAGGGGCTTTCTCTTTGCTTTGTGGATTACGTTCTGATTTGGGGAAATGGGCCAGGGGAGGAGAAAAAGCAGTTTATCTGGCTTTGGTAGTTCTTGGGCATCTCAGATTGCTTGCCACTTTTGGTCTCAATCTTTCTTATGTAAAAAGCCAGGGGCACTGGCTTTATAATGATAACTTTTCCAAGGTTTTAGTTTTCTCGTCTTACTAGTATCACTGTGTAACATGCAATTCTAAATGCCATATATGTCAACTCACTCACCCAACAGTTTTTTGAAGAGCTGAAGGGAATTTTTGTGTTTCCCACTGTAAACCTAATATGTGTTTTTTGTCTTTTATACCTATGCACCCCACACACATACACACCAAAGCAAAAATTGAAAAATAAAACTACATTACCTAAGAGTTTCAGTTAGATTGTGTTTAAACCAAATGAAGTTTTATTGTTTATGTAACTAGCCATACTACGAGACTTGCTGTGGAAAGATAAATTTCAGGCATACAGTTGACTGTGGAGCAGAAACAGCTGCTGTTCTTATGGTACTGACATAGGGGAGGTTGTTATTAATAGAAGGGTTGAGGTACAGAAGCTATAAGCTGAAAACACTGTAGAGATGTTTTCTAAAAGCATAAGGCTCCCATTGTGTCTGACTTACCTAGTCAGGGCTGTTTACCCAGCTGAACTGAGCAGGGAGTATTTTGGAGTTCAGAAGGCACTATTGTTTCAGATGCCACTACCACTTCAGGAAGCCTAGAAGATGTCTAGTTTCTGTAGTCACAGTGTTACAGCATTCTACATCCTCCTTTCCTGTCATGGGGTAGAAAGAACGAGGTCTCAGCAATTGCCAGCCACTTCCTCTGTCCCCTGTCCCTTCCTGCTCCCATGTACTCAGCTTTACATGTGTGCTCATGTATAATACTTCTGTATGTCCTCACACACATATGTGTGATGTCCTTGGACCATTCATGGACACTTTTTCATGATGGTGAGGTGAATGTAAAGGTGCTTATCTTCAATCCTGGGGAAAGAATCAGGCAGATATGGTTGCTGTGACATGAAACAGAGTCCACTCAGGAGGGCTTCCGTCCTTGGGCGTCATCCTTCTATTACAGGATTTCCTGCCCAGTTCTGCAGCTTGCCCCAAATAAATACACAAATTCTATATTAATTATGAAACTGTTGGTCCATGGCTAAGCCTTCTTATTGCCTAGCTCTGTCTTAATTATTAACCCATTTCTATTAGTCTAAGAATTTCCATGTGGTTTTATCTTACCTCGTGTATCCTATCCTCCCCGTGGTTACGTGGTGACTGTTTCTGGCCTACCTTTCCCAGAATTCTCTTCTCCTAGTCCTGCCTCTTCTCCCAGTCCTACCTATTTCCTTGCTTTTATTGGCCAGTGTTTTATTCATCAACTAATAAAAGGAACATATATACAGAAGGACAACCCCCTTGATCCTTCATCCTCTGGTGTGCTTGATGTGACATAGCAGAGCCACTTCCATCCTTGGATGGTGTCGTTTGCCACTGCTCCCTTCATCTAGTTTCTGCAGCTAATAGGGTTTTGTGCACACCAGGCTTGGCAGGCCTGGCCCTCTAAACTACACTGCCTGGTTCCCCCACAGTCTTTTTAAGGGGGTTGTTCTTTTCTGTCTCTCATAGCCCAGGGTTATCATTTCCTCAGTCTTATGGTTGATTTCTCCATTATGATAGTTGGTTTCTATTCATTATGTTGATGAAATTTTTTATTAAGAAGCACATAATAAAAAAGTATCAGTGATACAGGAGTCTACAATTCTCCCTGCCTCTTCCCCATCCCCAGTTCACACAACCCCTGCAATATCCTCTTTTTATATTCTTGTGTTTGAATTAGTGGGTCGTGGCCATACTTGAGAGCTCATAGTATTTATTGTTCCCCACCTTTTTCTCAGATTGTAGCTTGAAGTAGCAAGCATTTAGTAATCATTTAAACTAGGTCCCCCCCCCCCCCCCCCCGTAGTGGCGCACACCTTTAATCCTAGCACTTGGGAGGCAGAGGCAGGTGGATCTCTGTGAGTTCGAGGCCAGCCTGGTCTACAGAGAGAATGCCAGGATAAGCTCCAAAACTACACAGAAACCCTGTCTCGAAAAACCAAAAAAGCCAAAACAAAACAAAAAACTAGGTTTTTTTTTTTTTTTTTTCAGAGAGTCCACAATAAATATAACTTTCAAGCATTCAGTTGTAAAATTCAGTTTTCAGTTTAATTTTCTTGGTTTTCTATTACATTAGCTGCTGAAAGGCCCAAGTATGCCAAGTAATGTCTTTTTTTTTTTTTTTTTTTTTTTTTTTTTTTAATCTTTTTTTTAAAATTCTTCAGTGCTGTGAATCAAACCCAGGGCCTCAAACAGGCTAAGCCCATGCTTGACTAGTGAAGTGCGCCATCAGCCCCAGTCAAGTTTCTCAAGCAAGATGTAGCTCTAAGACAGGCTTGATGGCTTAGTTCCTTAATCCCAACACTCTGGACACATAGGCAGGTGGATCTCTCTGAATCTGAGGCCAGCCTGGTCTACATGGCAAATTCCAGGACATCCAGGACACAGAGACACTGTCTCTAAATAAATAAATAATTAGTTAAATGAGAGAGAAAGAAATAGCCTTAGTTACTCAGAGAAAGGGATTTCAAGAGGAAGATAGTATAAATGCAGCTGGGTTCCAAAACTGTTTGTGGAAGTCTTTAACTTGATGACAGATGTCTGTGTTTATCTGCAAACTTTAAACAGCATGGATTTCTTAACCAACTAAATGTAGTTACCTCTAGGATTGCTTATAATAATCCTGGATTCTATAGCACTGTTTTTCTCTGTGAACAATACTTTGAACTATTGTCAAAGGAAGTTGAGGCAATAAAACAGAGTTGTGTGACTGAGAACACTAGTTGTGAGCATAAGACATAAAAAGAACTAAGAATACAATGTTGCTGGGAGTGATACAGCTTTGGGAATCACTGTTAATTTCCCCTATATAGGGACTACATCTCCAGATGGCAGGAGAGAGCCTTCCACAAAGAAATGGTCCACATCTGTCAAATATTGTATTTCAAAGTAAATTAGAGAAGAAATGTTAGGGGCAGGTTTGCATGTTTGGAAATGCTACAGGCTACTTTATAATCTAGAAAGCACCAATGCCTAATCTGGTGCCTTTCCCTATGTTACCGTCTTGCATAAAAAACATTGTCACCTTTTATCCTTTCTCACAGGATATATCTGAAATATGGGAGCCCAGTTAAAATGATGGAGAGTTATATTGCAGTTCTTACCAAGGGTATCTGCCAGAGTGAAGAAAATGGCTCTTTCTTTAGCAAAGACTTTGATAGTCGAAAGGCATATCTTGCAGGTTCCATCAAAGGTAAGAAAGAAAGGAAAACCCTGGACAGCAACAAAAGCCACGAGCCATGATCATTTTAACCTGCTTTTCCTGACTTAGAATTCTGTCAAAGCAAAGTATTTTGTGATGACATTTTCCATATTGTGTCTTTTATAGAAATGTTCTTATAGCTCAATTCCATGACTCACAGTCCCCACTGACTGCCATAGTTTTTGTTTCCTCACATCTTAGCCATTAGCTCTTCCTATTGGAGAACTATAGCCATGGGTATAGTCTTCAGTCCAGTGCTTAGCTGAGCAATTTACAATGACACACAGCCAAGTGCTAAGCCACAGATCTTGGAGTCCTGTGGAGGAGGAGCTGCCCCTCTTCAGGTCCTTTAGCAGTGCCGGCTGCTCTCCATCTGCTGTCTTTAGTGGTTCCTGAGCATTTGGTTGAGGTTGGGTGTTCTTCAAAGCTTTTTTTTTTTTTTTTTTTATGACAATGAAAAATGTTGGTTTTTCCTTTGTATTATTTGTTGCAATTCCTTAGGAGTCTGGTATTATCTGTGTATCCAGAGTCCCCAAAGGGCATTGCTGGCAACTATAGTATATATCCTGGTAAGCAGACATAAATAAACATACCTATTCACCAGATGAAATATAACTGCACTTAATTGCATTTGCCTAAATGTAGCTGGTGTATTAAAAGTCGTTTTGTATTTATATGACAAGAATTCTTTTTAATGGAAACTTTATGATGCTATTATGTATTTAATGTAGTATTATCTTTTTATTTTAAGACATTGTGTCTCAATTTGGAATGGAAACTGTTATCTTACACACAGCATTGATGTTGAAAAAACGAATTGTTGTCTATCACCCCAAAGTAGAAGCTGTCCAGGAGTTTACCAGGTACCATCTTAAATTATTAGAAAGTGTAAGCTTTTCTGACAGTTGGAAATATTAGATGATGCTGTATGCTATGTTCTGTTGTATATTTGATAAAAAGAGCATGGGTTAGTTTGAGTAAAATATCATTTTTGTGATTCAGTTTAGAGGTAGTAGTTTAGGGTCACTGAATTTGGAAAGATTTTTTTATTTAACTTTAGAAATAGAGCACTTGGAAGGCAGAGGCTGCACTTGGGAGGCAGAGGCAGGTGGATCTCTTAGTTTGAGACCAGCTGGTCTACAGTGCTAGTCCTAGAGCAGCCAGGGCTACACAGAGAAACCCTATCTTAAAAAACAATAGCAAAATAGAAATAGACCTGCAGATATGCACAGGAGATGGGAACATTCAGGGAAGGAAAGGCTCTTCTTAACATTCGTTTAGCATGTTTATATATGTGGATAGGTGCTTGGAATGGTATGTATGCACACATTCTTAAAGGAATACTAACTACAACTATTTCTTTGGCAGATACAATGAGTTAGCAAACTTGTTTGAAAGAAAATAAGTAGTTTAGGCTTGGGCTAGAGATACGGAGTCGGTGGTTAAGAGCACTGACTGTTCTTCCATTAGATCTGGGTTTGAGTTCCAGTTACCCACATAATGCCTCTCAACCATCTGTAACTCCTTGTTGTACGTGTGTTGTATAGACATGAATTCAGGTGGAACACCCATACACATAAAAGTAAATATATATGTATGTGTATATATACACATACATGTATATAATAAATGTTTTAGGCTTGTGAACCATGTGTCTCTGCCAGCTTCTCCACTGCCTGGCTAGCAGGAAAATAACCCTAGACAACATATATGTAAGTGGGTGAGCATGGTTGTGTCAATAAAATTTTATTTTCAAAGATAAGCAGCTAACTCATAAGGCCCAGTTTGCTGACTGACCTCTGTTTTAAGTAAAATTGTTCCTTCATTGTTAGTGGTAAATGGGGTGTTGAGAGTGGAATTTTTTTGTTTACTAAATCTAATTCTTTTTTTTTTTTTTTTTTTTTTTTTTTTTTTTTTGAGACATGGTTTCTCTACGTAGCTTTTCCTGTCCTGGAACTTGCTCTATAGACCAGGCTGGCCTCAAACTCAGAGAGATCCCAGGTCAGTGCTGGGATTAAAGCTGGATGTCACCACCACCCAGCTTCTAATTCATTCTTAAGTCTTTTTTAAAAGCAAAAAGAATTGTTATTTGTCTTGTGTTTATTGAATGCTTTAAATTATTGATCTTACTCATGATTAAAAAATGCAAGGAAGTAGCATTCTTATATTTTATGAATGAGAAAAATGAGGCAGAGACTAAGTGGTGAGATTATGAAAGGTTAAAAGGCTTTATAGACCAAAAGTCCTGGGTTAAAATCATGTAATGGCAACTTGTTAACTCTGTGGCCATGTAAAAGATACTGACTGTTCTGAGCTTCTATAATTTTAGGATCATAATACAAACCTGATGAGCTTGTTTTCAGTACTGGGAATAATTTATGTAATATGATTTTCAGATGCCTCACCCTTTACTGTATCTGCTTTAAAATGATTATCTTTGGGCTGTGTTTGTCCTAAGGTGAGAGGGCCAGAATTTTCACCCTATTTCTTCTGTCTTTGACTTTACTTCATCACTTTCCTGCCTACATTATTCTTTTAAACTAGAGTATCCATACCTTCTGAAATGGATTTCCCAAAACTGCATGAATTCCTCACACCTTCCTGCAACACTTGCTTTTAAATTTTTTGGTTATTTTATGTGTATGGGTGGTTTGCCTACATGTATGTCTGTGCACCATGTGTGTACCTGATTGCTGCAGAGGCCAGAAGTGGGCATTGAATCCACTGAGACTGGAGTTATATATGGTTATGAGCCCCTATATGGGTACTGGAAATTCAACCTGGATTCTCTGGAAGAGCAGCCAGTATTCTTAACTGCTGAGCCATATCTCCAGCCCCCTGCTCCAAGTATTTCTGCTTCAACCTGTGTGTTGTCTGAAAACAAACAACACATTTTGCAAAGTTGGCTAGAATTATAAATAGGAACAAGGTGGTGGTGGCGGCGCACGCTAACTTTGTAAGTTTGAGACTAGCCTGGTCTACAAGAGCTAGTTCTAAGACAGCCTCCAAAGCCACAGAAAAACACTGTCTCAAAAAACAAAACAAACTATATATATATATATATATATATATATATATATATATATATATAAATAAAATTGAGACTTATAGAAAACAACGGTCTTGCTAGTTTGGATAGCACCCCAAATATGTCTCTAGCAGTTTGCAAACTTCAGTTTGTGCTTTTTGTAGGTAATCTGACCCAAAAGGTAGTTTAATTATGTGGCCTTATCCAGGTTTGGTGACATATACCTGTAATCTTAGCACTTTGGAGGTTATGGCAGGAGGATTGTCACGGGTTTGACACCAGGACTACCTAATATGCTCCAAGCCCACGAGGGTACAATACCTTGTCCAGAGACACCCACACGCACACGTGCACACACACATACACACACACAGGCATAGCTTTATTGTTAAGTCCAGAGGTGTTAGTACATTTTAGGCTTAGTTTCTCCTCTTCCTGAATAGCCATTCATTCATAGGGCCTGACCCTGGATGTTTCCTCTTGGGAGAAGGAGCAGGCAGTGTCCAAAGTGAAGGTCAGCAACTGTATGACTGAGATTGTGCCTTTATTTTTGGTGGTATTTTGTTTGTGCTTTAACAAATAAAGCTTGCCTGAAGATCAGAGTGCAAAGCTAACCACCCTAGTTAGCCATAGAAGCCAGGCAGTGATATACATCTTTATTCCTAGCGCTTGGGAGGCAGAGGCAGGTGGATCTCTGAGTTTAAGGCCACCCTGAGCTACACGAGTTGATCCAGTCTCAAAGAGAAACAGAGCCAGGCGGTGGTGGCTAAAACCTTTAATCCCAGTACTTGGGTATCACATGCCTTTAATCCCAGCACTGGGGAGGTGGAGACAGGAGTGATATGGCTGGGCAGAGAGAGGAATATAAAGTGGGAGGAGACAGGAGATCATTGCATTCAGTCTGAGAATTCCTAGAGACAGGACCACCCATTTGGTCTGAGGATTCAGCAGAGGCAAGAACTAGTGTCTGGCTGCTCTGCTTGTCTGATCTCTCAGCATTTACCCCTATATCTGACATGGGTTTTTTACTATTAAGGCCAATTAGAATTCACACTACATTTATTCCTCAGGACTCTGCCTGCCCTGGTGTGGCATCGACAGGATTGGAGCATCCTCCATTCTTACGTGCACCTCCATGCCGAAGAACTAGAAAGCCTGCAGATGTGCACAGGTACATGAGAACATCCCAGGGGAGCAAAGACTCTGTTGATGTTTGTGTGTGTATTTGTATTGGTGGGGCATGAACGCATTGGTAAAATGAATAATGAAACTTTGGTTTTGCAAATTTTTCTATTTTAAAAACATTTTTAAAAATTGTGGTAAAGCACTCGGAAGGCAGAGGCAAATGGATCTCTGTGAGTTCAAGGCCAGCCCGATCTACAGAGCCAATTCCAGGACAGCTAGGGCTGTTACACAGAGAAACCCTGTCTTGAAAAAACAAGCAAACAAAAGTTGCAGTTAAAATGCACATAATTACCATTTTAACTTGTTTGTTTTGTGTTTGTTTTCCTGTGTGTGTGTGTGTGTGTATACATGTGTTCGCATGTGTGTGTGCACTCATATTCATGTTTTCCTGGTATTAGAAATTGCATGTAGGGATTAGCTTCAGGCATGCTAGGCAAGGCCACTTAGGGCTATATTCCCAGCCCTAAGTTAATCAGTAATTTGCTTTTGAGTGCTTAGGGTTTTTGTTTTGTTTTAAGTTTTGGTTTTGGTTTTGGTTATTTTTTCAAGACAGGGATTTCTCTCTGTGTTAACAGCCTTGGCTGTCTTAGAACTCACTTTGTAGACCAGGTTGGCTTCAAACACACAGACATCCATCCGTCTGTCTCTGCATCCTGAATGCTGGGATTAAAGGTATGCACCACCGCTGCCTGTTTGAAATAACCAACGTGTAGGAATGACCATTCTAAACAGCACCAATTCTAGAAGTTTACTGATTCCATTAACAGTCATTGTTATCAGATATGATAGCACTCAGAGATGGTCCCTGTATCATCCTTCACAACCTAGACATGTAGTTATGGCTTTCCTGAGGACAGAGATCTGAAATGAAGTCAATGGTTAAGTCCATTTTCTTTGTTTTAAACCATAGTTGGATTTTTAATTAAGAGATATTTTTAATGTTTTATACATGAGGACTAAGAGGCGAGAGGTACTCAAAGACAGACACATGGGTGTGGGCTTTTTGGGAAGGGGAGTTTGAGACAGGGTTTCTGTGTAGCTTCTCTGCAGACCAGGCTGTCCTTGAACTCATGGAGATCCAACTGCTGAGTGCTGGGACTAAAGCTGTTACCTACTTTTTGACATTCTTGACCTTGTTAGCACTGACCAAAAAGTAAATGCTTTATTCCAGCCTTGTTCCTTGACATTGAACTTAAATTTCAGAACATTTTGAGCCATATGTATTTTGATTATATAGCACTAGTAAATAAGTGCCACTGGTACAGCTAGTGTTCCTGAGTAACAGAAAACCCTAAAGAAAGTAGCCAGTGCTCATCAGATTGAGTCTTCTGAGACCTTCACCACATGATTTCTTTCTGCTCCAGTAATTTGATCAATTTGCAATGCAGGATACATTGCTGGCTTTGTGGAATTGGAGGTGAGCAACAGACCAGACCTCTATGATGTGTTTGTGAATCTGGCAGATAATGAGATCACCATCGCTCCACTTGCAAAAGGTGACTTTTCCATTCAATTCTCTATTCCAGTATTTACATGAGGTACAAGCCAAGCAGCTTTATGTTTTAGGCTTACTCCTTAAAGCCAGGATTTGAGAGCTTACTTGGCATCTGCTGGAACTGGAGGGATTTCTCAGTGCCCAAGGTGTATAATTTATTCCTGAAGGTCTACATATTTTAAGAAGATAGGTGGGATTTTTGCTCATAGCATTTGTGTGATCTCTCACTAGTGCCCAAATGTGGGAGCATCTGAAAGCTGGCTGCAGGACTCTATGTTAGAGTTTGATGCTATGAAGGTTTCATCTAGCCATTTCAGATGAGTAAAACCAGAATTTCTTTCTTTTCACTTGTTTAAAATTTCATGAGGGAAAATGAAAGTAGAAACAGCCTTAGGAAATATTACCTCTTATAAGGCTAAAATTATAAAAAATGGTCATGGCCTGAGCCAAAAAGGATGTCACTGCCTACTTTTTGTTCTGATCTACAGAACATGCTCATTCCAGTTGGTGGAGTATTTAGTGGAGTATGTTCCTTGCAGTGACACACAGGACTTTCTTTCTTTCTTTCTTCTTTTTTTTTTAATGCTTTCTCTTTTTAAATTAATTTATTTTGTATACAGTGTTCGGTCTGTATATATGCCTGCAGTCCAAAAGAGATCTCATTATAGATGGTGTGAGCCATAATGTGATTGCTGGGAATTGAACTCAAGACCTCCGGAAGAGCAGCCAGTGCTCTTAACCGCTGAGCCATCTCTCCAGCCCCACACAGAACTTTTATCTCACAGCAAGCAGGAGCACCATCTGTAATTCATGTGACCAAAGTGGTTTCCTTTTCCAAGCCTCTGAACATGCTGTGTACTCTTTGGGCTCCTGAGGGCCAGGCAGGAAGCTCTTCTTTCACAACCTTTCTGCCAGAAAATACATTAAATTTTTTTTTTTTTTCTTGATTTTTATTTGAAACAGTCTTCCTTCATAGTCAGGGCTGTACTAGAACTCACTGTGTAGACCGGGCTGGCCTACAACTTAAAGAGATCAGCCTTCCTCTGCCTTCAGAATGCTGGAATTAAATATATGTGCCATTTAGATTCCTCACTGTAAAGACTTGGGAAAGATGGTCAGGCTTTGCCTTCAAGTCATAGCTAACTTGTAATCAGTGTTTTTTATTCATTTTACCAGGCAGATATGAAGGGGAAATCTGGTTTGGCACTGGTGATAATACTTCCAGCATGCTTTTACATTTGTGTTGGGAATAAAATGGAAACCTAGAGGGTTATCTGTTGACTTTTGAAAAGCCCTATCAGATTTTTAGTTGGATGGCTTGGTTATTTTTTATTGTGTAAAATTTTAAATCTTCATACAACATTCTTTCTGCTTTCATCAGAGGCCATGACAATGGGCAAACTGCATAAAGAAATTGGTCAGCTAATTGTGCAGTCTGCAGAAGACCCAGAGAAGTCAGACAGCCAGGTTATACAGGTAAACCTTGATCTGCCTTATGAGGCTTCCTACAGTAGCCTCACTGTACAATTTATCAGGCCATGGTGGCAGAATGAAGTGTCAAGGGACAGGCCAACTGGCAATAATAAGTTTTGCAGTGGCCAAGATGATGGACAAGGGGCAGGGGCAGAGGGGGCCAGGTCATTACAGGGGCTGGTACTAAATCCAACCTGGCTGGTGAGAATTGTAACCACTGAATGGGCTGGAATGCCTATGTGGGCACCAATGCATTTCATCCTGCTGAAAGAATTTTCCCTTACTCCAAACGACTTTAACAGATTTTGTTGACCCCTCCTGGAAGGTACCACCCTCCCTGTGGAGTGGGGGTGGAGGGGGAGAATGGGATGGGGTGGGGGAGGACATGGGAGGGAGGGAAGAAAGGAGGGTGAGGGAACTGGGATCGATTTGTAAAATAAGAAAAAATTAAATTAAAAAAAGAAAAAGAATTTTCATGGAGGATCAAGTGGTGAAACCGTAACTTTGGAATCAAGTGTCCATTTTGAACTGAAGGGTTGAAGCTTTTAATACTTGGTCTTTGAGGAGTTGTTGACTTGTAAGCACATGAAAGGGACAACAGGCTTTGTGGCAGGGTTGGCTGACAGCACTGTTCTCTCTCGGCAGTGCTGGTGGCCTGTGCAGCATGGCCAGGAAAAGTGGGTGGGTCCTCTCCGAAGACTGAGACAGACGCTTCTCTTTTGCTATGTGAATCAGCTATTGGCTCCCACCAAATTAGAGCAGGAACACTTACTCTTTTTAGTATCATTTTAAACTTGTTCTTTGAGAATTTCACACATGTATACAGAATACTTTGTATTTTGATAGATAGCTGTTCCCTACTTCTGCTGGATCTCTTCAGTAGATTCCCTCCCAACTTCCTCTGTCTGTCTGTCTGTCTGTCTACATCTATCTATCTGCTTATGATCTATCAGCTATCATCTACCTATCTACCAGCTATCTCTATGTATTGTATGTGTTTGTGTATTAGTGTTTTATCTGCACGTATGTCTGCACTATAACACAGGGGTCAGAAGAGGATGTTGGACCCCCTGCAACTGGAATTACGAATGGTTGTGAGTCACCATGTGGGTGCTGGGAACTGAACCTAGGTCCTCTGAAAGAGCAACAAGTGCTCTTAACCACTGAGCCATCTCTTTAGCCCCATGCCTACCCCATCTCACACACACACACACACACACACACACACACACACACACACACACACACACACAGAGTTCAATTAGTTCTGCCCCGTGCACATGGGTTGGAGCATGACTACACCCCCAAAGAAAACTGACTGTCTCCCCTCTAACAGTCATCGGTTGAGCTGGGGTGGGACTTTGTTTTCCTCTGCCTAACCATGTTGGAATTTTACCTTCATCTTGTACAGGTCTTACATAGGTAATCACAGCTGTTTCAAGTTCATGAATGCTACAGCCATGTCAGCATTCCACAGCTTTCCTTTCCATCATCATCCAGCCCTTAATTTCCTTCTACCCTCTCTTCCATGATTCTGTGGTGTTTTTTGAGCCTGGGGTGGGGGGTAGTGTTATAGATATCCTACTTAGGGGTGAGCATTCAGTCACTTATTCTCAGCCTTTGGCCTGTTTGAGTCTCTGCGGTAATCACTCTGCAAGAAGCCCCTCTGACCAGCAGCAAAGCCTTTCGACACAACCTCAAATATCTAGATGTCAGTGGCAATGTGACCATTTAGAAAACAGCAGTAGTGTGCTCCCCCCTACTGTGAACTCACCTCTTCCCTTGACCCTGAGTCATGGCTTTCGACCAGGTTTACAGTAGCAATCAAGAATTCCCTCCTGTGGAGCAGGCTCAAATCCAGTCAGAAAGCAGATGATTGTTACTCTATAACAGTCCAGTCACTACTGCACCAGTGGTGGGCACATCTTGCCTTGCAGGTCAGTTTTATGACATACAGGGTCTAATATGAGGTAAGACCATAGTTGTGTCTTCATCAGCAACATTATATATATATATGTATATATATATATAGTGCTTTCTGGCACTATGAAAGCTAGCAAGGAGAAAGGAAGTTTCTTGATTAGTTTCAGCTTAATTTCTGTATGTCCTACACCAGTATATGGTGTCATCAGCAATAGGGTCATAATATCTAGTTATAGTGGACAGCAGAGCAATGGCCTGAGAAACAGCCATCCTTATTAATGTAGGTCAATACAGAGATTACAGTTGTAGGTTATTTGGATTATTTCTCATGGATTATAAGTGATACATAAATAATTCCACATAATGTGTGAGATCGTGGGAAAGGAAAGTGAAAGCACTAAATGTTCAAAAATACTTGAATGTGTTTATGATATGGTCAAGACAGGTAAAAGACATGACTTTAATGTGAGTTCCAGTGAGTCACATGCCACTCAGGAGTGCCAGTTACTCAGGCATAAAGCCATGTGGTAAGTGTTAGGTTATTCTGCTAGGCAAATGGGGAATGGGGGAAGAGACTCATTCAAAGAATGGTACCCATAGAATGACTTAGCTTCCAGATGAATATCCAGTGGAATTGAAGGCAGAGACTTAAACAGACTTTCGTCACTAGTAATTATGTAACACTCAATAAAAAATGTAAGTGACCTGGTTATCCATCATCGGGAAGAGTGGGTAAACAAAATATAGTGGGGCACATACAATAGGGTACGATTCAGCCTTAGAAAAGGAGGGTCTAATAGTCAAGAGTAAACCTTCAGGACTTAGTGACATGTTGTATGAAACAAGCCAATCACAAAATGGCAGATATGTGATTCTACTTAGATAATGTACCAAAGTAGGTGAATTCGTAGAGAAGTATAATACAGGTAGCCAGGATTCTGCAGGGAAGAAAGGAGTTGACTTCCTAGGCACACAGTGCCTGTTTGGCATGGTAAAAACCTTCTAGAAACAATATAACAAGGCAACTGTACTTTTTTCTTTTGCAGTATTGTGTGTATGCATTTACATATATCCTAGAGTTGGTTCTTCCATTGTAGGATCTAGGGATTGAACTGAGATGTTCAGGGTTTCACAGCTATCACTCATTTTTACCCACTGAACCATTGTGGCGACTATTCTTTATTATTACGTGTGTGTGTGTGTGTGTGTGTGTGTGTGTGTGTGGTGAGAGAGAGAGAGAGAGAGAGAGAGAGAGAGAGAGAGAGAGATCACTACACGTATGGAAGGTGGAAGACAACTTTCAGAAGTCGATTCTTTCCACCATGTGGGTCTCAGGGATTAAACTCAAATTGTCAGGCTTGACAGTTTGCTTTTTTTGGGGGAGTCAGGGCTTCTCTGTGTAGTTTTGGGGCCTGTTCTGGAATTGGCTCTGTAGACCAGGTTAGCTTCAAACTCACAGAGATCCGCCTGTGTCTGCCTGGCAATTTGCTTTTACCTGGTGGGCCTGTGGTGTCTTTTTTTTTTTTTTTTTTTTTAAAGATGGGCTTTCTTTAAGTAGTCCTGGCTGTCCTCAAACTCAGGAATCTGCCTATTGCTGCCTCCTGGGTGCTGGGATTAAAAGCATACACTTCCACACTTGGCTTTTTTGTTTTGAAACACAGTCTACTATATAGCCCTGTCTTGACTGGGCCTCACTGTATAGACCAGATTGGCCTTAACCTCATAGAGACCCACCTGCCTCTGCCTCCCACTGGGGTCAAAGTCAAGCTCCACCATGCCGATCCCTCCACAGTGACTATTCTTTACTTTCTTTTTGGTTTTTTGTTGTTGTTGTTGTTGTTGTTTTGGTTTTTAAGACAGGGTTTCTCTGGGTAGCTTGGGATGCTGTCCTCACACTTGGTCTTGTTGTAAACCAGGTTTATTCTCGAACTCACAGAGATTCTCCTGCCTCTGCTTCCCGAGTGCCAGGATTGAAGGTATGACCTGGCCACACAGTGACTGTTCTTAGTATCAATGCATTATGCTTAAAAATTACTAAAATGATTCTAAACACATCTGTGACATCAACATCCTAAGTTATTTCATCAACATCCTAAGTTATTTTGTTTTAGTAATTTATGAGAGCTGGGCATAGTGGTAGGTGACTTTAATCTTGATTTAGAGACCAGCCTGGTCTCTATATAGAGTGAATTCCAGGACAGTCAGAAAACCCTGTCCTGAGGGGCGGGGGGGGGGGGGGGGTTGTTATGAAGTCAGTCTGATAACAGAAGGAGGATTCTAGAAAATAACTAATCACATTTTTAGATACTAACATACTATGTATTTTTCTGTTCTATTAAAGGACATTGCCCTAAAAACAAAAGAAATCTTCAACAATCTAGCACCATTTTCAGAAGTGTCAGGTGACGGGGACAGGGGAAAGATTGTCCTCAGTGTTGAGGCCCTGAAGCAAAAGCGATTCCCACCTGCAACGGAGAATTTCCTTTACCATCTAGCAGCAGCCGAACAGATGCTGAAGATCTGACAGTCCACAGCAACACCATACAGAACTTCCTTTCATTCTGGGTGCCCATTGGCATTATATAGTATTGGAATTACAGAGGAAATGTTCTATTTTTAATGATTTATTTCCAAGTATTGAGATCTCACCTGAGAAACACATAAAAACAATTGTGGTTTTTGTTTTTGTGTTTGTTTTTTTCTCCCTGCCAATTTGACCCAGTGCTGGACAGTGTTTTAACTACTGTCCTAATGGTAAGAGCCATATGCTGTCCCAGAGTTAAGGAGTCACACACACAGATGAGCACATGCAAGCCTTCATTGTGTGTCCCTGTTTGTCTCACTGTATCCATAACAGTTTATTTTCAGAAAGCTGCCTCACAGTTTGCTTTTTATTCTTCTAGGAAAAAACTTGAATTCCTCATGAGAGATTTTACTTTCTGAGCCAAATTGCTATGTTTTCTGCAGAATTACCTAGAATATCATTCAAGAGATATTGCAATTGCACTTTCTGGTAAAAGAAAATGTTTTGGGGCTTTGGAATTTTTGCCTATATTATGGAGGTTTTTTGTAGATTTTGTACTTGATTAGAACTCTTTGACTAACTGCTTCTAGCAGTGCCTTTGGGAAAGAAGCCAGTCCCTGTAACAGAGGAGCCCCTTTTAATATAAGAAACAACACCTGTTTTTTGTTTGCAGTGCTGGAACTGGAACCTGGGGCCTTGCATATGCCAGGCAAATGCTTTTCCAGTAAGCTAAACTCTCAGCCCAATAATGCTTTCATATATTGGTAAATTACTTCATATTGCAGAGGCCAAAACCAGACAGTGTCTTCAAATGACTGCAATAAAAGTAATTTGGTCACATCATAAAAGATACTTATTGGACCTTTTTGTTTGTTGAGACAAGGTTTCTTTGTGTAGTGCTGGCTGTCCTGGAACTTGCTCTGTAGACCATACTGACCTTAAATTCAGAGATCTGCCTTCCTCTGTATCCCGAGTACTGGGATTAAAGGCATGTGACACCAATGCCTGGCTTATTGGCTTCTTTGTTTGAGACCTTAAAACTGCCAAGTAAGCACAAATGTCTAAATTAGGCATTCCTATGTCTACTCATGTTAATTATAAAAGGGCACTTTCCTTCAGTACAGTTGCAGAACCTTCAAACCTTACCAGGAAACATGTTTGCATAAATGTTATCTAAATTGGGTCTTTTTGCTGGGCGTGGTGGTACACACCTTAGTTCTAGCATTGGGAGGCAGTAGTAGGTGGATCTTTGTGAGTTCAAGGCCAGCCTGGTATGGAATGAGTTCCAGGACAGCAAGAGCTGTTATACAGAGAAACATTGTCTCAAAAACAAAACAAAACAAAAAAGTTGTCTTTTTAAAATCTTATTGTTAGACATTTAAGTAAAAATAAAAAACAACTTTTCCCTCTTGTCCTAGGGTGGGAACAAAGAGGACCTGAAATAACTTGTTAACCGGAACTAACAATTGAAGATTAAATTTGCACTTTATGAAAAGAACTGCTAATGTCTTTGTTCATTGTTCCCTTTTGCAATACTGTTAAAATTACAAAATTGAAACATTTTGATAATTTTAAGTAATCAGGAGGAATCTTCCACCTGGAGATTTTGCCCATCTTGTGGTATTTTTGTGTTTTGATTTATGTGTATGTATGTTCATGAGCCATTTGTATACTTGGTGTTCATGGTGGTCAGAAACATGGTTTTCCTGGGGCTGAAATTATAGATGGTTATGAGCCAAACCTGGGTCCTCTGAGAGTTAGTGTTCTTAACTGCTGAGTCCTCTCTCTAGCTCCCACCTTGTATTTATTGTTTGAGACAGGGTCTCACTATGTAGTTCTGGCTGGCCTGGAACTTGTTACAGAGGCCAGGCTGGTCTCAAACTCAGACATCTACCTGCCTCTGCCTCCTGGGTACTGGAATTATAGATGTGGTCACCACACTTGATGACCTTTTTTTTTTTTTTAAACCCTCTTACGTATCCTGATCTTTTCCTATACACATACACACACAATTTTTTTTTAATTTATATATATATTTGTGTGTATGCCACATGTGGGGGGTGTCAGAAGATGGTGCTGGATTTTCCTGGAGCTGGAGTCACAGGCAGCCACATGGGTGCTAGGAGCAGAACTCACATCCTCTGGAAGAACATCAAGCACACTTAAATTCTGAGCCATTTCTCTAGCTTAAATTCTGTGTAGTATCCACCAGTGCCCACACTGAGTCATGTGGTAGGTCACTTACCAATTTTGTCTTTCTGGGCTGCCGTAATACTTTTTTTAAACCTAATTTTGGAATAATTGTCCTGCAGACAGGATAACTGGAAAAACACAGACATCTTGGTGAGTTTAGTGGGGAAACATCACTGCAGTAACCAAATGTGTGCATCTTCTCTAATGACAGTCTGCTAGGAAATATGACCAGCCAACATGTCTTGTAGTAGTGTGGCCAGGGTCAGATCTGATGAGAGAAACGGGATGTTACAGAAGGGGTACTTTGCTCCATGCTGTGAGCTCTCAAGGCCTCCATAGCTTCTGTAAAGGGCCAGAAAAGATCACAAAGTCACGTGAGGCACCCGTAGGTCAAGAGGAGGGAATGGCAAGAGATAAATAGGATAGCGGCCTTCGAGAAGCAGGAAAGTTCAGAGAGCAGCCAAAACAAGCTAGAAAGCCGAAAGGCCATGCCAGCAGGGGGCGCTGCTGCACTGAACTGAGCTGCACCTAAAGCCTTGGGTTCTTAACACATGAAATTGTGCCCTTCTTGGGTGAGGATTGTAGGTACCACGGCAACTGTCAGACACAGCTGAGTAAATGATGGCACCATTGTCCAAGATTGGTGGGGAGCTGAACTAAGGCATGGGTGAGCTCTGTGGGGCATCCAAGAGCCAAATACATTGGGGCGATTTTGGGGGATCTGAGAGCCTGGCAGAACGATACTCCAGCAGCCTTGGATGGGGTTTGGGTGAGAGTCTTCTCAGCAGAATGTAGGCTGTGGCCAACAGCACTTAGAAAGGCTCGGTAAGGTCTGAATTTGAGGTTAGCCCAGTCTACAGTGAGTTCTAGGACAGCCTCTTGAAGAAGGAAGGAAGGAGGTGGGGGGGGGGAGGAAAGAGGGAGGGAGAATCAGAAGAAGAAAAAGGAGGGAAGAGAAAAGAGGGAGAAATATGAAGAGAAAGTAGTCCGGCTAGGAAAGATGTATTGCTTTTTTGATAAGGCAGATGAGTGGCATTTCAATGTTCCTGGGAGGAGCCTGCAGAGAGGGAGATGAGCCGTGATTCAGTGGCTACAGAATATGGCCCAGAGGAAGGGAGCTGAGTATCCCTGAGAAGTTGACCTTGTATAGCCCTGGACTGGTGTTAGGAAGAAAGCTGTTGCTGGCAAGGGGCCTTGGTTATTAAAGAAACAGAAGTGCCAGGGTCCTGTCCATCAGGAACCAGGGAAGCAGACAGAATACTTGCAGTAAGGGATCAGATGAAGTAAGTAGGGGAACCAGATTACTTAAGGCACTAGAAGCCTTAATGAGTTCACCAGAGCTTTGTGTCTGCCTAGAGGTTATCAATGAAATGTTTGTATCCCAGACGAGGTGTACCCTTTGACTATTTTTTCAAGTACTCAACTTCAAACAAGTTTATTCACAGGTGCACACTACCCTTTCCCAGGCTGATTCTCACTTCATCCATTGTGCCTTCAGCAGTCCCTTAGGTGTTGGTTTTGTTTCAGTCAGCCTCAAAACCCCAGGTATAGTGGGACTTCGAAGCTGGCTTGCTGGCCGTGTTCTCTGCATGGTCCTTGAGGGGCCAAGTTGCCCTTACACCTCTGTGTTACAGAAGAGTTGTTTTTCTTCTGTAGAGGACTATCTTTTAAGCTGACTATACTGGATCTGAAAGACAAGGTCAAATTCTTTATAATTCATGCTTAACTTCTGCCTCAAAAGCCAAGTTTTAAAAAATTCTGAAAGTACTTAATTTCACATCTTTTCCAATGATAGCTAGATGATAGCATACCATTTCTTAGAACTATTTATTTATTTAGGGTTTTTTTTTTTAATTTAAACAGTGTTCCTCTGTGTACCCCCTCGATGTTCTGGAACTCACTCTGCAGACCAGGCTGGTCTCACACAGATCTGCCACCACAGCTTGGCTCTTAGAACTGTGCAAATGGAAATTTTCAAATATGGTGGGAATATAATCAGCTCTTGTGCACCCATCACTCAGCAGTAACTATGAAGAGTCTGGTTTCCTCTAGCACTTACTACACCCATAAGTGCAGAAGCAGTGGTGGCGAGGGGACAGGATCTTGATGTATATAGGCCAGACTGACCTTGAACTTACAGTCTCTTCTCCCGCCTCAGCCCCTAGAATGCTGTGAATACGAGAATGCACCTGGCTCCTTGAGCATTTTAAGACAATTCTCAGATGCACCATTTCACCTACAAATACTCCAGTATTGCCTGGTATACAGGAAGAAGAGTTATCATAACTATCAAATGTTAGCAGTGGATCCCTAACAGCCAATGCCCATTTCCAGTCTTATACTAGTTAGCTGATGGCAAGCAGAGGAGCTCTGAAGGGACAGGCTCCCTTGTCAGGATCCTTGAAGTTCCAGAGAGGTATTACAGAGATGTCTGAGGAGATGCCGAGCCCTTCTCAAGGCAGGGTCCCCAAAGCACAAGGCTACCACTGGAGCTCTCTACCACCCACCTAGCGCCAGCAGGTACCGTCAAGGTCCAGTGAACCTCTGAAGCCTCCACGCCTGGCAAGTCCTGCATGACCTCTTTAGGCCACTGTCTGCTTCCTCAGCCTGGTGGTGCAGTGCTGACTTTGGTCTCAGCATCCTGCCAGTCCTGTGGGGCCATGCTGTCCACTCCTCCCTCCTGCTCTTCCACTGGGAAAGTGTTCATTTTAGTCCCATCTCTGCCTGTGTATGTCCAGAGGCTCCCGCCTCCAGAAAGCCTTCCTTAGTTCTAATCCCTGTGTGTCATGAAACAGTAATTTCCACACATTTAGATTACCTTTCCTGCAAGAGCATGTGACACATCCTGTCACTGACCCCAGGGTCTTTCCTTTTCCACATTATCAGAGACCTGTTGTTGTTATTTGTGGGTGTACATGCCATGGCTCACATGTAGTGGTCAGAGGGTAGCCTTCAAGAGTCAGTTTTCTCCTCATGTCATGTGGGTCTTGGGGACTGAACGCAGGTCTCTAGGCTTAGTGGCAAGCACCTTTATCTGCTAAGTCATCTCACTGGCCCATGAGCTGAGTTTTAAACAGGCATAGAACACATTTCTCAAGCAGCAGTTCTTGGCCCAGATAGTCTTCAAGTCCCTTCAGCAGAAACTGAGAAAGCTGACCAACTTGACGGAGGAGCTGGGAATTTTACCTGGCAGAAGCCATGACTACACTGTATGGCTATGCACAATGAATCATCTACGGAACCATGCTTTATAATACATCAGCCACAAGCTATTGATACGTGAGGACCTGTTACAATTAGAAGGTTTGTGGGCTAGGAGGATAGCTCATCGGTGGAGCACTTGTCTAAGGCCCCAGGTACAATCCCCAGTACTGAAAAACAGTAATAAAATCAAATCTAGTGCCTTAGTCTCACTGGCCACATTTTAGGCACTCAGCAGCCACACGTGGTGTTTGCCGCACTGGGACGGAACACAGATCACTGCATCACTGCAGGAAATTCCACCGCATAAAGCATGACTACAGATTTATAGATGGTCTAAAAGTTCTTTGGAGTTTTTCAAAGATTTGTATGTTGATCGATTGGTTTGTTCATAATCTTTGAAAGGCTTCATGCAGCCCGGGCCGGCCTCAAACTCACTGTATCTAAGGGTAACCTTGGGCTTCTGATCTTCACGTTTCTACCTCTGAAGTCCTGGAACTACAGGTGTTGCTACCATGCATAGTTTATGTGGTGCTGGGCTTTGTGGTGCTAAGGAAACACTCTAAAAACTGAGCTACACCTCCAGCTCATAAAGTTTTTAGTTGTTTTTTTTTTTTTTTTTTTTTTTTTTTTACTTTGCTTTTGAGACAGGGTTTCTCTGTGTAATCCTGGCTGTCCTGTAACTCAAACTCCAGAAATTCATCTGCCTCTGCCTCCTGAGTGCTGGGATTAAAGCTGTGCACCACCACTAAAGTTATTTCTTTTACTCCTCTAATGAGAAGCTGTGGGGCTCTTGTCCAATTTGTGGAAATATACTGAATGACACTGGTACTATCAGTCCCATCATAAGGAGGGTAAAGCTCATTCTCATGACCACTAGTAACAACAAAGTTTGTGGGGGGAACCTGGTCCTGTAGACAAGGCATAGCTCACAGCCATGCTCAACACTTTAGGGTCTCTTTTCTGAGGCAGGCCTTCTGCTTAAATGGCGGCTGATTTGGCTCAGCATGTAGCTACAGGCCTATGCCTGGGTCATTGCACAACCACCCAACAGCTGACAAATGGACTGAGAACTATGGGTAAGGTTTACCTACTCAGACCT